ACGCCCCGGACAAGAGTCCACTCATTCAGGGGTACCCGGCAAGCTCGCGCACAGTCCCCGGAGATCGGGCCAGGGAGGGGGTGCAATTCAGGCGAGCGGCTCCGGGACCGAGGCAGCGCCTGGAGCCGGCGATGCAGGCAGGTCGGTCCCGCGGGAATCCGGACAGACCGGTCCAGGAGGATCGGGCGCTGGAGAGCTCGGAGCCAGAGGGCTCGGGGAGGCCAGCCAGAGCGAGAGGGCGCAGGTAGTCGTCGTTCGGGGTGCACGGTAATCCGGGGTACGCCGCGGGCTCGACTCGGATCCGGGGCTCGGGGTGCGCGGGCCGTCAGGGGTCCGAGGACGGATCTTTGCCGCGCCGCTCACGTACTCACTTCTGCTGTGCCCGGCGCTGGCGCGGCCGCTCTGGGCGAGGGGGGCGGACACGGCCGCGTGCCAGTCAAGCCCGAGGCCCGCCTCTAGCCACCGGCCGCCCACTCACAGGCCGCCAGGAGGGCTGGCTCTGCCCCGACAGCGCTCTGCTGGAGCTCAGTTGGCGGCGCCTCCATCAAGCCCATCCTCAGGGTCTACAAGCCCTGGAGTGGGCGGGGCCAAGGAAAAGATGAATTAGATTGGGCGGAGCAACACAGTCCATCAGAGGGAAAACCCGCCTCCTGTCGCCTGTTGGTGGTTAGTAACCGAGGAGCTGCTAGCCAGGTACAATGAACCGGGGGCGCCCTCCTGTGGCCGGTCCATGCCCAGAGACGTCCCCACGTGGCTGTCTTCTCCAGGCACATCCAGACCCTAAATTCAGTTTTAGGTACTATCAGGAGGCACTCACCTGGACATATTCTGCGACCAAGGCCTTCTCGCTCATTCATCATTCATTCATTCATTCATTCATTCATTCGTATATTTCATCCTTCTTTGAGCCAAAGACTCCAGTAACTGGCGCTACAGCAATGGATAAGACGAGGTTTGTGTTCTTTTTCTTGGAGCTGGTTTAATGGTGGAGGCAGGTATGAAGTCATCACAGCTGAGTGTAACAGGTATTATGAAGGAAGGACAGAGTTGCTAGAGCACATGTGAGGGGGATGGCTATGTCTGGCCCCGAGGAAATTACCTTCAAGCTGAAATATGAATGATGAATAGGTGAAGTGTGTGTGTGTTCTGGGAGTGGGGGCGGTGGCTGTTTCAGGCAGAGCAAACATACTTTGTGTGAAGTCCCAAGGTAAGAGAAACTGCTATTCATGGAAGGAACCTGAAAGAAGTTCAGATCTTGAGTGCAGAGTCTGAGAAGGGCTGAAAAAGGCTTAGAAGTTAGGTGTGGAGGAACCAGAGGAATTTTTTTTCCAGACTCATAAGGCTTTGCTGAGGGCCAGGGCTTGAGGCAGAGACATTACCCAATCAGATTAGCATGGCTGCTCTGGGAAGGATGAGTAGGAGAAGGCCCTGGGGGAAATCAGATCAGAGAGGACGCTGTACAGTGGTCAGGCAGAAGATGGTGGCTTGGGCGAGAGTGGTGGCTAGGGATGGAGAGAAGTCTAATATGTTTTCAGAGGTAGAGTTAATGGGATTTGTGATTGAGTAGTTGAAAGATAGGTGGTAGATGGAGACATCAAGGAGAACCGCAAGTTTCTGGTTTAAACAAATGGACTTCTACCCCGTCTGCTCAACAAACATTTACAGAGTGCAATAAACACTCTGAAACAATAGGTTTCATTTATTACCAGGTAGATGTTATTTTAGCTTCATTTTACAAACAAAACTGACATCTAGAAGGACTTAGTGACTTGTCCCAAGTCATGGTGTTAATAAGTCAGGGATGGGATTTGAACCCAGGGCTGCATAGCTTTTAGACATGCTCATTCTACTTCATCAGAGATCTAAGTATCACCGAGGTGCTTGTTAAAAGCTCAGAATCCTGAGCCACGTACCCCACCTCAGATCTTGGAACTCGGAGTCTCTGAGCCATGAACCCAGCATTCTATATTTTAAAGGGTTCTAGGTGACTCTGATGCACACTAAAATCTGGGAATCACTATCACCACGCAGCTTCTCACTGTCCTAACTGGAGAAACATCCTTCCATGGTCCCTCTGAGCCTTTCCCAGTGACCCTACGATTTCTGGAGGCAGAGTGAGAGATCAGATCTAGGCCTCAGAAGCAAGATGGTAACACTTAATCATTTTACCGTGAAGTAACCCAGTTCCCATCCTAAAAGCTCCATCAGGGTAAATGGGGTCATGGATCCAGTACTCAAGGACTTTGCTCTGAGGGAGGTCAGTCCTCCTGGCCAGACAGAGGCATGTGGGGTGAATGGGGCTCAATCAAGGGTGGAGATGAGATGCCATGAGACAGAAGCCCAGATTCCATACCCAACCCCGTACTTCTGCCTCCCAGATTTGTTCTCAAGTCCTAGTAACATCATTCAAGGCCCTAGGCCACAGAAGGAGTCTTACAGATCATTTTACAGCTCTCCCATTGCAGAGCTGGGAAGCCTGAGGCCTAGAGTGTGGACTCCTTGCCCTACAGTCCCCTCTGCCCTGGGGTGCTGGTTGGAACAGGGTAACATTTCAGCAGGTGGCCTAGCAGCAACACCTCTAAGCTGAAGCCCCGCTGGTCGTGAGGCGGATCTGTGAAGCCGACACTCCTGTTTGCGCAGCATCTGTGCCAGGCGAGGCCTCGCCCTGGACAAACACAGCCTGCCAGGCGGCAGGCACCAAGCTCCTTTGTTCTTGGGCCTGAAAACAGAGGCAGCAGGGCCAGCAGGTATCAGAAGGCCCTTTCTGACCGGATGTTGGCACCATGGTTCCCACGGGAATGCTTCCTGATCAAGAGGCCGACAGGCTGAAGGGCATCTGGGTATTGGCGACAACAGCCTATGTCAGGAAGGTGACCACCTGGCAACATAGGGGACATGAGAGGGGGCAGGTGGAGGGATGGGGACTGAAAGCCAGGCCAGATAAGGACTGGAACGCCTTCCTCTCTTCAGGGCTAGGTAGGCAAAAGGTGCTAAACTTCTTATCTTTCCAGGCTGAGGAGGTGCCAAGGAACCCAGGGAGCAGGCTTTGATTGGGAATGAAAGGACATCATCCAGACTGAGGTCAAGGCACCTCTCTCTGAGCCCATTTGAGTCTTGGAGGAAGTTTATGTAGAAGCAAGAGTTTGGGCTTTGGCATCAGAGAGACCTAACTCCAAATCCTTGCTGGGGGATGGGGCCTGGGGTGGGCAGGGCCTTTCAGAGAGGAAGGGAGAGGGAAAGAGAGAGAGAAACATCAATGATGAGAGAAATCGAGCCTGCAACCCAGCATGTGCCCTTAACCAGAATCCAACCGGGGAACCTTCAGTCCACAGGCTGACGCTCTATCCACTGTGCCAATCTGGCTAGGGCCAGCTGGGGGGCTTAGGATAAGAAGCTGAACCTTTCTGAGTCCAAGTTGGTTGATAATCATAGCTCCCTTGCAGGGTTATTGTAAAGCTCTGGCCACACGGCCAGGAGTACTGCAGGTGCCTGATAAATGGTCCTATGAAAATTAATGCCCAGTCCCCAGAACCCCGCTGGAAGCACTGTCAGTTTGGGGACAACTAAAGGAATGTGTGTGAATTGAATTGGGGCTCAATGACCCTGTGATCAACTTCAGATTCTCCTTGAAAAAAGATAATAAATATGTGTCCCTGAGTTTGTGGGTTGGGATTGTTGCAAGAAATACAAAAGTGAGAGAAGAGAGCTTTGGAGCAATAAAGTGATAGTGGGATTGGTTTGGTGAGAGTTTCAGGGGCTTTGGTTGAGGACCAGGGTAAAGGCAAGGAGACCAGTGAAGAGGCCACAAGCCAGAGTTGATGGTAACAGGGCTTGGGATGTATGTAGCTCAGTGGTTTGAGCAATGGCATGGGTGGTCATTTACAAGAAGAGAAGGAAAGACTTGGGGAGGAGCAATTTGGTTGGCGGGGGAGGGGGAGGGTGCTGGGGACTGAGGCTGTTACTTCGGACTGGCTGTTTGGGAGAGCTGCCATACATCTGAATGCGTTCTTTGAGCAGACAGCTGGCTTTGCCACTCCCCTCTCCTCCACTGAACCCCTCCTTGCCATCTAAGCAGCCTCAGTGGCTGGTCTACCCTCAGGGCCTTTGCACTGGCTGTTCCCTCTGCCTGGATGCTCTTCTTCCAGCTTCTAGAGAGTTGCCTCCTTTCAGAATGTAGGTCTCTGCTTAAAGGTTACCTCCCTGACCATTTTGGTCTTCTCCCTCTTCCCCACACCATCACTGTCTAGCCCATCGTACCGTTTTATTTTCCTTATACACTTTAGCACTAGATGAGATTACGTTACTTAGTCATTTGTTTACATGTGTAGTGTCTCTCCCTTTCTAGAATGCAAGCTTCCTGAGGGCAGGGGCTTGTCTCATTTACCGCTGAATCCCCATGTAATGCCAGTGCCCTGTATGAAGTAGTCTCTCAACAGCAATTCTCTAAATGAATCAGTAAGTACAGTAAATCTGTGGTAACCATGCTGCTACTACCTCTTCCCAAGCCTGTGGCAGACGCTCCTTGGTCTCAGTTCTGGCTTCCCCTGGGGAAGGGTGGAGGAGGAAACGGATGAGTATTGACTGAACCTCTCTGCGAGCTTAAGTGGAGGTGCTTCAAACACCTCCCAGCCTGGAAGTTCTTGTCAATCTATCAGAGTTGGTGCATGACATTTCACGGACCTGCCATCCCCACAGTCACGATGGCGTAGTGGACAAAGGTTCCTTGCCTGGTACCCGTTTGACCTCGTGTGAGGCTTTTAAAGCTCCTTGGGCCTCAGTTTCCTCATCTGATGTCCCCCAAGACGTGGGGGAGACTTTCCACCCTCTTTTATGGGCTGGGCCTCCAGTCTAGAGCCGGATGCCACGTGCAGACATGCCAAATCCCCCCAGACAGTGGCTCAGATCCTTTCTTTCTCTTGAATCACAACCTCTTCTCTCTCTCTCTCTCTCTCTCTCTCTCTCTCTCTCTCTCTCTCTCTCTCTCTCTCTCCTTCCCCTGCTTTCTCACCAGCCCCAGAAGGCAAGGCTGGAAGCAACCTTTGGCACCTGGTCCAACAAAATCCTCATTTTCAGGTGAGGAAACTGAGCTCAGAGAAGGACAGTCAATGGAGCCAGAAATCCAACAATGATTAGTTGTCCACACTACGCGTTGGCAGCAGCCATTTCTCCCCCTGGGGCCTGGGCACTTGCATCAGCACCTCCTCTCCAGGATGGGGAGGGAATGGGGGTTGCTGCAGCTTCGCTCTACTCAGACACATTCCCAAGCTCCAGGGGGCTGGCAGCCTGGCTTCCTTCCAGGCCCTGGGCAGTTGGCAGGAGAAGGATGCCCTGTGGATTCCTGGCTTCTTCCCCCACTTCCGAGCCACCCATTCAAAGCAGGTGAGAACGGCGCAGGCTTCTTTCTCCACAGTTGCTTTCGGAAATTGCCTCGGGTTGTTTGGGCCCGCTGGAGGCTCTTAGCTTTTCCAAAGACAATGAATGCCCTGTTGGCCGCTGCTCCCCTTCATCATCTTCTGATCCTACCTGGTTCATCCCCTTCATTCTCTTGATGCTATTCTGCAGCCAGTACCCTCTCTGACAAGGGCTCGGTTCTGGCTTCCCCTGGGGAAGGGTGGAGGAGGAAATGGATGAGTATTGACTAAACCTCTCTGTGATCTTAAGTGGAGGCGCTTTAAACACCTCCCAGAGAGGGGGAGCGTCACTTGCCTTTGAGCCTGCCTGTACAGAGCTCTTGTTTGCAAACTGTCTTTTCTGGTGGAGAAGCCGCTTCCTTTGCTAGCAGCTATTTGGGGAAACACTAATGTTTGCAGGAACAGAGAGCCAGCTCCCTGCTCAGGAGGACAGCGAGGACCCAGAGGGGTGCAGGAGTGCTAATTAAAGACCAATGTCCGTAGACATTTGGGGAAAGTTAAAAAATGGGAAAGACTGGGGCTTTCATGTTTAATTAGAAAGGAGGAAATATCAAGGACTAAGGGGAATTTTTAACTCGATACTCAACATTTCAGCCCATTTATTGAACAGTTACTCTGTGCTGTGGGCCACAGGCATAGACAGGCACAGACCCGCTGAGGAGGACTCCAGGACAGAGGTCATGAAAGGGAGACTCTGAGCTGCAACCAGGCTGAGGCCTGGAAATGAAGAGGAATTGGCCGGGATTGATGGCAGAAAGCAAAGGCTGAGCCATGGGGTCCTCAGCCCTAGACACACAATAGAATCACCTGAGGGGTTTTTTTAAATGAAGGGTGCCCACCCCCCAGAGATCCTGGTCTGGGAGTGTTAGGGGCAAAAAAGGAATAGTAGGGACTAGCTTTTATTATTAGGAAATATTAACCATGCTCTGTTAAAGGTGATGGTTCTATTCTGATTAGAAAAAGCACTTTCTAACCTGGCTGAGGGTTGTGCGCCTCAGGACATAGGAGCCAACATCAGAATGCAGTCCATCCTCCTTTTCCGAGAACTGCCTCTCATTATGGAAAGATTAAACAATCTAATCCTGGAGGTGCCCCGAGGCACCCGCCCTCTGCAACCCCCGCCCCCAACCCGCATTGCCTATAACCTATAACCATTATACCTTGCCTACTTTCCCATGCCTGTAATTCTTACTTTTCCATGTAATCTTTGTTCCTCTACCCAACATATACAGCTGGCTTGTGGGGAGGGGCAGAGCAGATTTTTGTGGATGACCTGCTGCTCTCCCATACTGCCAGCATTATTGGAATAAACACTCATATATATTTCAATCCTGTCTCTGCTTAATTGGCTCAAATAGTGACAGGCAGCCGGGACCCCATTGGTTGTCCGGTTTTAGGAATCTGGGCACTGATGTATTTTAAAAGCTCCCCAGGTGGGTCTAAAGTTGGGGGTCAGCGGGGAGAACCACTAGATCAGCCGTGGGCAAACTACTGCCCGCGGGCCGGATCCGGCCCGTTTGAAATGAATAAAACTAAAAAAAAAAAAAAAGACCGTACCCTTTTATGTAATGATGTTTACTTTGAATTTATATTAGTTCACACAAACACTCCATCCATGCTTTTGTTCCGGCCCTCTGGTCCAGTTTAAGAACCCATTGTGGCCCTCGAGCCAAAAAGTTTGCCCACCCCTGCACTAGATCATAAAGTCTTCACTAGGGGGACAATTTAGGAGTCGTTGGCAAGATCAATAGAGCCATATTGCAGAGGGCTCCACCAGCCCAGTTAAGGAGTTTGGAATCCAGCCCTACGGAGATAGGAAGCCTCATTTGAGTTTTAAGGTTTCAAGCAGAGGAAAAGTCAGTCACATTTGCTTTTTAAAACAATGCCTGTTAGCCCGGCTGGTGTGGCTCAGTGGTTAAGCATCAGCATATGAACCAGGAGGTCAGGTTTGATTCCTGGTCAGGTTGCAGGCTTGATCCTCAGTAGGGGTATGTGGGAGGTGGCCCATTCGTGATTCTCTTTCATCATGGATGTTTCTGTCTTTCTCTCCCTTCCTCTCTGAAATATATATATATATATATATATATATATATATATATATATACTTAAAATGCCTTTTAGTCTCGCACTTCCCCTCCTCCCTTCCCCACCCCCACCTGATGTGGAAGTTGGCCTACTCCGGACCACCAGGCTCAATGGGACCTGCTCTCCTTTCCTCTGCAGACCTAGAGGACTTTGCCAGGCCTTGCTGCAGGTCTCAGGTGGGAAGGTTCATTGGGATGCCCTGCCCCTCCTCCTCGCTGTCCCTGTTCCCAGCATCTGCCCAGGTACTGGCTCTGGCCAATTTCTTCCTGGGCTTCTTTCCCAGCCCAGCCAGACATGGCACCTGATCTGCCCCAGTGTTCCAGCAGGCATAGTACAAGAGAGGCATTTTCTTCTCCCTGATTTCTGAAGCTACCCTCTGGGGTCAGGCCTAACGGCGTTTTCCTTTTCAGAATGCATTTTGTCAGACCTGTCTGGGTCCCTACTGCTACTCAGAGTCCTCGCTGCACCCCCCTGCTCCCAGCTGGAAGGAGTGAAAGAAATAAGGGCTTCAGAGCCAGGCCGACCTGGGTTAGAAACCTGACCCCACCTCTCATTAGCTTTGTGACCATCAGCAATTCACTTCATCTGAGTCTCCATTCCCTCATTTGTAAAATAACGACACCAGTCTAGGTAGACAGTTGTCAGGATAAAATGAGGGAAATATGTAAAAGTCTGAATGAAGTACCCAGCACACAGTAGGTCTTCAATAAATGGTACTACCATTTACTATTATAACTTAATGTTAATTATTATTACTAGTGCTGGGTGCACTGCTAAATTACAGAATTTCTTTGAGCTTTAGTGTCCTCTTCTGTGGAATAAGGAGAAGACATGATGCCCAGCTTGTAGAGTTGCTGTGACTGCAGCGTGCAGGCAATTTGAGAGGCTTTTTTTTTTTATTAGATCTGAAGGCTACTCATGGGCTGAGAAAATGCTGAATACCTAACAGGCCCTTCAGACCTCCTGATTTTGGCTCATTATGGACGTTTCCCACCACTACTGGCTGGTAGATTGACAGGGGCCTTTCAAATTGCATCAGGATGGAGCCCAGAAGTTGCAGTAGCATCACCGTCGTCTGACACACAGTGTACATGCACAAGAGCAAAAGTCCAGGGCTTGCATCATATTCAAACGTTCTAAGACTGATCCTCCCAGAGACAAATCATCAATGATCGTGACTATAGGGTAGAAGCCAGCTCTGGTCTATGCATTTTCTCCTTCCTTCCTTCATTTGCTGAGCAGAAATGAAATGAGGTGCAAGGTCTAGTAGATGGAATTTGACTGGAGTGCCCAGAAATGGCCAAATCTTACCCTCCAGTCATCCCTCTTTCCATAAAGTTCCCAAGGCTGTAAGGATAAAAACAAGTGAGAAACCGAAGTGCCAGTTTATTATTAGCTGGGAGAGGACACGCTGTCCCAAGGCAGGCCTCTCTGTGAGCAGTACCTCCTACACTGTAGGACCTACAGCCTCACACCCCGGACAGCACCTTCCCAAGAGCTGCTGGACCAAAGGAGGAGCCCTTCCAAGTGCCCTGGCACTGGGAGAATGCCGGGGTTCATGTCCCAGCATCAAGAAGGGTTCAGGAATGCGCAGATGACAGAAATCCAGAGACTAATAAAGAGTCCGGAGACGAGTTATAATTTTGAAAGGCATTGGGGGACAGAGGACCTTCAGCTAAAGGAACTGAAGAGTCCCTCCTTGTCTAGGACCCTTGCTTTTATTAACACAATTTGTCCTAAGGCAAGGTGGAGATAATACACTTCAAAGGGTAAGGTTTCAAAGGGTACAGAAGCATTGTCAGTTTGGGGAATAGCCTACGGCTGTTCAGGTGTTTGGCCAGTAGGAGGCAATAACATGTAGATTAAGATGCCCTTTAACTGTCTGGCAGCCACAATCAGTTTTCTATTCAGGTTTGGGGAAATGCCTTTAGCCATTTCCAACAGGTGACTATATCTGTGACTCAACCCTGTTGAGTCCCCAAGTCTCATCAACCTTTTGATGAAACTCTTAAAATTATGACATGCTGGAATTGGTCTACAGCAGGAGAAAACAGGAGAGGAGAAGAGGCTGGCCCCCAAGAAAGCCCAGGTTGTGTCACTGACCCAGAGGCACAGGTGAAGGACGCGAAAGAAGGGCCACAGGAATGTAGGTTGGTTGTAACATGCTGTGACCCTGTCCCTATCTGTGCCTTGGAAACTGGCCAAGTAAATCAGCATCCTTGGAAGTTGGGGGGAGGAGAGAAAAGCAAGGAAAAGGGCCTGGAGGAGGGATGTTCTCCACATCCCACTGGGATACAAGAGCAAGATAGGTATGGTCTGTGCCTTCATGGAGCTTCTGGTCTAGAAAGGGAAAGCATTACTGATGAGATTAAATTATTCAAGTGGAATGAGTGCTGTGCCGAAGTGTGTGATGTTATAAAGCAGGTTCAGGAGACCTAGCAAGGCTCTACTCAGGATATGCCATGTGCGCTGAAATGTTAAGACTTACCTACCCAGGTAAGGCAGCCTGGGAGACTTACCCACCCAGGTAAGGCAGCCTGGGAGACTTACCCACCCAGGTAAGGCAGCCTGGGAGACTTACCCACCCAGGTAAGGCAGCCTGGGAGACTGACCTACCCAGGTAAGGCAGCCTGGGGGACTCACCCACCCAGGTAAGGCAGCCTGGGGAGACTGACCCACCCA